AAGTGGGTGGAATCCTATAAAACTGGAATGGAGGAGGCTTCCTTTAGGGAAGTGAGTAGAAAAACATTTGCAAGTTCACCCCGGAAGTTGCACGGAAATTGATCCCCAAAAGTTATCCACGAAATTTGATCAGAGAGCACTTTGGGTTTTCCTCTTGGATGCAGGATTTTTTTTCTTTTTCTTTCTTTCTTCCTTTTTTTAAAATCTCATTGAACTCTGAGCTCTAGACTTGTAACAGTGTTAGGCATGCATTGTCACTAAAGGGTTTTCATCTCTGTGTCATTTTACAGACGAGCTCAGAGAATCCCTGAGCTAAAGGGAATTATTTGGATTCCTGTTTTACAGCTGAAGAAACTGAAGAAGAGAAGCAAAGAGTTTCCCACTGAGACACAGAAAGAGCCTGTTTCAGGGGCTCAGTCTGCAGGGTTTCAGAGTTCAAACGCCCATTCTGAACGCAACAACAGGGGAACGAGACAGCCTTCTACAACTAGCATGAAATGCTGGACATTGTTACTCTCTCTATATAAGGTCATGTAGCCTGGTTGCATGGGGAGGGACAGCCACAGAAAAATGTGAGGAAATTGTAGCTATATCCAAAATAGTCTTATTTTACCAAATTGGGTGTGATTTAAGAAATATACTTTCTCCCTTGCCACGACATTAGCGAGACCCTTGGTGCCATATACATCTAAATCCTTCCATTTCATTGTGCATTGGATAGTAGCTGTTCTCACAATCCAAAAAAAAAGACCACTTGGGTATAGTGGAACCATATGGCAAAACTCCTTTCTCGGAACATGTGACTTTAAGTATGGAAAGCAAAAGCTTTTTGGTCACTAAAAAGAGGTATGCTTCCTAGGCATACAAGTTTACCAACATTTCCAGTTATAAAATGAAGACTTTGTTTCAAGTGCAGAAAAAACCATGATGGTGATTTGGGAATCCTGCTGGAAGAAAGAGCAGTAACAGAGAAAAAGGCCAAAGTCCAGGATAACCTAGCTCTAGTGTTGGTAAGTAGTGACAATAGTACTATATGTACTATTTAGCGAGCATTTTCCATGCATTTTCAGATTTAATCCACACGACCCTTTTTTTATTTTATTATTATTAGTTTTTAAATTTGAGAGAGAGAGCACGTGTGCATGAGCGGACAGAGGGGTTAGGGGCAGAGGGAGAAGCAGAATCCCTGCCCAGCAGGGAGCCCAATGCAGGGCTCAATCCCAGGACCCTGAGATCATGACCTGAGCGGAAGGCAGACACTTAACACCTGATCCACCCAGGCGCCCTGCACAACTCTTTATATTTGGTATTTTTGTTTCCATTTTACAGATGAGAATATGAAATTGGAGGGGGCAAAGTGACTCCCTCACGATCACATTCAGTGTCGGTGTAGTTAAACAAGTGGTCTTCTGGAACCAGACAGACTGGGGAATGTCAGATACATTTATCAGTCATAGAGTAGCCAACTGTCCTAGTTGGCTCCAGACTCTTGTTTCCTGGAAGGCAGGACTTTCAGGGCAAACCAGGATGACGGCTCACCTGACAAGTTGTGTAACCTTAAAGAAAGTACCTCCCTGCTCTGAGCCACAGAGGAATTTGGACCAGGATGATCTCTCAGGTTCATTGGAGTGTGACCATCTGATTTCCCTCTCTGCCTGGTGACACGGGATCATCTCTCTACTCATAACCTCAAAGAATCTGTAGCATCACTGTCTTTACTCTTCCTCTCCTTATGATTGAGCTCTTCCAGTGTATTCTGGAAAGCCCCCTCTGTTTGAATCTACATGGCTACAAGAGAACTCATAACCACAGCTTTCCAGGGGACAGGCCTGGGCATGATAAACCTCCACTGGCACCCGCCTTAACATTTCAAGGGAGAATGCACATTTATCACAACTACTCGACCTCTCCCAGCGTCTGTTTTCCCATCAAAATGAGAATAATAAAACTTGTATCTCATGGGGTGAGTGCAAAAAGTGCTTTTATAAACTGTAGAAAATATAAAAATGGATCCCATCCTGCCTCTTACCAGAGTGTGGGTGTGTGACTCGCAAAGCTACTTGCATGTAGCCCAGGTCTGTGTCTGCCCCCACAGTCTTTTCCCACCTAACCCGTATGGGTCGCTGATGGAATTTTATATTCCAAAGAATCTGGATCCCTTCTTATTTTAGCCAAGAGTCTAGCCATTTGCTGGCCATAACCTCTTGATCCAATAATCGAGAAACAGGAAACTTGTTCTTTGCATCAGATTGGAGATAGAGATTAGGAAAACAGGATGGGGATCACTCAAACTCTGGGACATTAAACATTTAGAAGAGGAAAAAGGAAACCCGTCATTATGGTGGTGCAATTGTCTAACCTCTTAAATAGGCAAAATTGTCCCTATTCAGTCTAATTCACAGAGGTATTTTGAGGATCAATGGGACATGAATGTGAAGGTTCTGTCAAAACCACGTAAAGGAGGCTACAAAATTAAATACTAGGCATGTTTGTGGGTAGGAATATAGATATATATTTCAAATTATATGCACATATATTTCATCTAGTCTGATGCTCTTATTTTACAAGTGATAATATGAGGAGCGGGAGGGTTAGTGACTTGCACAGAGCCAAGGGCCATCATGAAAACTCATTCCTTGACATTCAGCCAGTCTTCAAGAATCATAAGGGTTGCCTTACTTAGAGATCCCCCAGAAGCAGGCTTTGAGGCAAGAATGCAAGTGCACGTGGTTTATTTGGGAAGTAGCTCCAGGGACCCTAAGTCAGGCAATGGGAAACAGATAGGGACAAGAAAGAACCAATCAAACAAGGTTCCACTGTGGAAACAGGAGCGCCATCCTGTTGAGGGAATCAGGGAGGCACCGTGGATCCTCTGTCTCAGTGTTATCCCAACTGAGAGACGAGAGGACCACAGTTTTATTTTCATCAGTCATTGGGTGACAGCTGCTGGGGGAATGCCAATCCCTTCATCACTTCTAGCATATGGGCTAGAATGGGCTCCAGTGACCACAGAGTGCCCTCAGCAAAGATTCACAGGATTTGGGAATTAGAGGTTAAGCCAGCATGCCCAGCAGTGGTACAAGCTGAGGGGACACTGGTAGGCACAAATGACCATGTATGACTGGTGTCTTAGTGTCACTTCAAACTACTAGTTTAATATACCAGACAATCCTGCAATGACCTCTACCACTATATTCCATTGCAATGTAAACCCTATTAAGGCAAGAATACAAATATTTATAGGGTTTTTTTTTTTCCTGTTTTGTTCATTGCTAAATCTTCAAGTTCTAAAGCAGGGATAACCCACCACAGCTACTTATTAAATACCGGTTGAGTGAATGAAGTACACCCCTGACAATTGGCCAGTCTGCTTCTCCTTGACATGGGATGAATGAAGGCAGCTGGATCATTTACAGAACCATCCTGATAGAAAGTTCTTCCTGACATTAACTTCTTATGTGCTTCCCTGTAACACTTATCTTCAGGCTCTAATTTTCTCTGGGACCAAAGAGGAATAAATCTAGCTCTTGGTTCCACTTGACAATATTTCAAATATATTTGGATAGCTGTGTGTGCCTGGTTTCTTCATCTCTCCTCTTATGATATGGTTTTTAACAGCTTTCATTTCCCGGTAGTGGGAAGAAAATGGTGCTAAGTTCCAGCCCCATCACTTTCAAGGGGAGTGATCTTGGATAAGTGTCTTCCTCTCAAAATATGTAGACAAGATTAATAAGAACTTTATTTCAGATTTGGTGTGAAGATGCACTGAAACCATGTAGCTAAAGCCCCCCTAGCCCAGCACCTAGTACTTAGAAGCCCCCCCCCCCACACAAAGTGGGTTCCTTTCCAGCGCCCACAGCCCCATCAGCAGCCTCTGGTCATGCTCCAGCTTGTCGGTGGATCGTTTCGTTTCGTTTCGTTTCGTTTCGTTTCGTTTCGTTTCGTTTCTTTTCTTTTCTTTTCTTTCTTTCTTTCTTTCCTTCTTTCCTTCTTTCTTTCTTTCTTTTTTAAGATTTTATCCATTTATTTGAGACAGAGAGAGCGAGCACAAGAAGGGAGGAGGGTCAGAGGGAGAGGGAGAAGCAGATTCTCGGCTGAGCAGGGAACCTGATGTGGGGCTCCATCCCAGGACCCTGGGATCACGACCAAGTTGAAGGCAGACACTTAACTGACTGAGCCCCCCAGTGTCCCAGTACACAGTTTGGATATGACATCCACAAATGGGCCTTCTTGTACATCTGTACTTAAATACAGAATACAGAGGGATTACAACATTCCTCACTTGTCAACATTTAAAAAACTCGAGTCTCTCCGTCAGTTTGTGACAGGCTCAGCACCAGTAAGCAGCCCTATTAATGCACTCTGAGAGTGTGACAGCTTTTTAGACAACCCCGTAGCAATAGTGTTTCCTATTGAGCTTATACAATTAAAATCCCAAGGCCTTATTTGTGTGGAATATTCTACCACATGCTACCTCTGGTACAGCTGTTTTTTTGAACCAAAGTGTAGGGCTTTCTTTTGATTCCGATTGGATTTCTTTTTTAGTTATTCTTTCTTCTCACTACACCACCCCTGCCATTACAACACATGAGACTACCTCAGGAATCCCTACTATGCATTCTACATGAAGGAGGAAGCAGAAGCCCTTAAACCACCAGACGGTTGTGGAGAATGTGCATTTGCCTTATGCAAACTCTTTTTGACCTCTAATTCCACAAATACAAGAGAATTAGCAAATGGATGCAAGTAACAAGAGGAGATCCTAAAACAAAAACTCCAGAAAATGTCAGAAACTTAGTGCACTAAAGGAGCCAAAAGTGCTGGCCTGGAGGTTGAAGAGTTACTTTCGAGTCATGACTGTCACCAACTAGCTACGGGACTTGAGCAAGTTTTTCTAACTTCCTTAGGATTCAGTTTTCTCAACTATGAAAAGAAGAGTTGGGCTTTAAAAAAAAATAAACCTTAATAAATTATTACTCTTTGCCACACCTACTGCAAGAATGAAGACCATTCTCATCAATCAGACTGTCAACATTCCAAAGGATGTGGACAACACTCGGAAAGGACCCACTATCGTTGTGAAGGGCCCCAGAGGAGCCCTGCGAAGGGACCTCAATCACATCAACGTAGAGTTCAGTCTCCTTGGAAAGAAAAAGATGACGCTCTGGGTTGACAAATGGTGGGAAACTTGGAAAGAACTGACTACTGTTCGCCCTATCTGTAGTCACATACAGAACATGATCAAGGGCGTCGCCCTGGGCTCCTGTTACCAGATGAGGTCTGTATGTGCTCACTTCCCCATCCATGCTGTTATTCAGGAGAAGGACTCTCTTGTTGAAATCCAAAATTTCCTGGATGAAAAATACATCTGCGGAGTTCAGATGAGGACAGGTGTTGTTTGTTCAGTATCTCAGGCCCAAAAAGCTGAATTAGTTCTTGAAGGAAATGACATTGAACTCACATCAAAGTCAGCTGCTGTGATGCAGCACACCTCAAAAGTTGAAAACAAGGAGAGCAGAAAACTTCTGGATGATTAGGTATCTATGTTTCTGAAAAAGGATTGGTTCAGCAGACTGATGAATCAGATCTAAGGTGTCCAGCTACGGAAATGGCAAGATGCCAGATGAAATCTCAGATTTATCAGTGATATTTTAAAGATGGAACACAAGCTGCACTGATTTGGGAAAGAAAAATAAATACATAAACTATAATTATCCTGATAGTGGATCAATACTCAGCACTGAAAAGAAATCAACTATCAAGCAGGGAAATGACAGAGGGAACTGAAGTGTATATTGTAAGTGAAAGCAGCCAATCTGAAAAGGCTACGTACTGTATGATTCCTACTACACGACACTCTGGAGAAGGTAAAACTATGGAGACATTAAAAAGATCAGTGATTGCTAGGGGTTGGGAGGGGTAAACAGGTGGAGCACAGAGGATTTTAGAGCACTAAAATTATTCTTTATGATACTAGAATGGTAGATACATATCATTACATACTTGTCAGAATCCTTAGAAGGTACAGCACCAAGAGTGAACTGTAATGCAGAAACAAAAACAAAAAGCCCCACCTTATACACATTAAATAATAACAACACCACATACACCTTACCATGTAATCCCCACAGCTAGGTTTCGCCATCATCACCACCTTACAAATGAGGAAACTGAGGCTGGAAGGCAAGCACCAAAGGTAGAATGTGAACCCAGATAATCTGACCATGAGTTTGGGGTCCTTTGCTTTTCATCCCACTGCCTGCCTCCCAGATCTCAAATCCCACAACGTGTCCTTGGAAATGAATTTGTACCTATTCAGTGTCCCAAATACAAAGGAACTTCTTTGCAAAACTGTTTTATTTGTTCTGTGCTATTTGCAGTGTGCAGTTTACATGGAAGGGCAGTAAATGAAGATGATTAACAGCATGGGCTTTGGAGTCACTTACTAACTATGTCACGTCTGGCAAGTTAACATCTCCAAGCCTCAGATTCCTCATTTAGAAAATGGAAGTAATGACACGAGTTTCTCTCCAAGACTGTTTTAGGGATTGTGGGAGATAGAGCGTGTCAAGCACTGAGCACAGAAGGTGCTGTTACTATTATCCTTGGGTGCATTGTGCAGGCAGTAAGAGGCAGCATGGTATGATTAAAAGTGTGGAGTCCCTGGGTTGAAATCCCAGCCCTGCTACATACATATTAACCGTTTACTTTGGACCCGCTGCTTACCCTCTCTGTGCTATAGTGTCCTTACTAGTGAAAAGGGGATGATCACAATAGCACTTAGCTTATAGGATCATGGTGAGAAGACAATGAGCTAATGCATTTAAGATGCTTAGATGAGCTCTTGGCACAGAAGAAGCTTGTGTACATGCTAGCTATTGAGATCATCCCTCTTTCTTTCCTTCAGCAAATCTCAAGTCCATGGTTGCAACAAATTAATCAAAGAGCACTTTGGAATATATTCCCATTTGCTTAAGCCACACCAAAGGAATCAGCTCTCACGAGAGTCTCCCTATGTCTGACTCGGGGCTACATCTCATCTGTTCTGAAGAGCACGCTGCAACTGTCCCTACCACCTGCGTAGATTGCTGGCACCAGGAAGCCTCTGTGAAGCAAACAGCCCATGAGCAAGGTTGGCAGGCTAGCTGGAGCCAGTGGGGCCCTTTGGAGTCCAAGTGAGGATTTAGAGATCCTCAGTCACTTGTAGGGAGTGGAGAGGATAGTGATCCCTGGGTGACAGTGGGATCCCTCTTCAAGGCTCTGCCGAAAGAAAGTTGCTCAAAGGGTGATGTAAGGTACTACGTAGAGCTTATGACTACTCCAAGGTCCTAAATCTCGCGTTCCACCCCTTGGATGGGACACCGCACAGCTGGGCTTGCTCCCCGGTTTTGGTTCCTGCTGACAGTGCACGTGTTCTGCTCTGCCCAGGCACTTGGTGCATCTGGCAATGCCTGAAAGCTCCTTCCTTCAGCCTCTCAGATGCTGAACATACCTTAGGAACATGTGTCTTTCCATTGTCGACACACGATGGAATGCCTGCGGCAGATGGTTTAAAGGAAAGCCATCCAACAATGCCAATTAAAAAAGAACATCCTCACCAGGGTCAGGGTGGTTTCTTCAGGTGGTTGCTGTGGTTATAGAAGTGCGTGTTGCACACTCATCTTGCCCACTGGTTGAAAGCATCTAGAACCTGCGGCCACAAACCCCAGGAGTTACCAGGGGTTAAGCAAAACCATGTTCCTGGAATATGGTATCTGGGAGAAGCTACCATAAAACCATACTTGTATATTAAGACGATAAAGCTATATTTAATATAAATATGACATAACTATTGAATTAGAATTCATAGCTTGCGTGAACTTTTTTTTTAAATAAAACACAGAATCTGGTAGTAATTTTGCATTTCTAGGATGTTCATTCCCCTCTGGCATAGGGGATGTTTCTATGGGAAAGTTTTACAAATGCTGGGCCTAAGTCATGGCGTGAAATGCAAGAGAGAAGACAGCATTCAACAGAGGATGCAGCGCTGGGTGTGGGGTCCAGAGACGTGCGTGTGGGCTGGGACTCTGTCGCCCAACTCGCCGTGTGACCTCATGGTTAAACAGGGATATTAATCCCTGTCCCGCCTGCCTCCCAGGGCTGCTGTGAGAATCCAAGGAGACACCGCGTGTGAAAGGCGCTTTCCAAGTTACAGTGCTCCACAAATGTAAGTTATTATGATTCAGCCTTGTTGTTTTTGGAAAGCTTGTTTCATTTTATATATCTCATGTATCCTCCACCCCGCCCCTCCCCCCACAGTCAGATCAAAAGTGTTTGCCTTTCTCCTCAGAGCGGGGAAGCTCTGATCTGACAAAAAGAAATGAAGTCACCAGGCTTGCTGTGGCCCCAGTTTACGTCTAGGCCATCGGAGGAGCCCGCTCCCTGCAAGGCCCAGCAGCCCAGCCCTCATCACCCACACTGAGGGGAAGTTAGACAGAGCCCAGCAGTCACCGCTGTCTGAATTTCATTATGCAGGTCTCCAGACAAGCAGAGGGGAAAAGTGCAAAGGAGCGGGTCAGCGTCTGAAATGTGAGAGGGGCAGCAAGTCTCTGAAGTGTATGGGAATGGAAGGAAACTTAATACTGCTCCAAAGGGGAGAGGGAACATTGCATCATATGAAAATAATAGCAAGCGGTCAGCAGAGCTTGGGGGTTTGGGGAGGTGGGCTTGCCCACTGACCCACTTGCAAAAGGGCCTTGACTGCATTTTGTGCCATTCCAGAGTGAATCTGTACCAGGGCCCACTAATACATCAGCCCGGGGCTCACAGGCACTGGAGATTGGGCTCACATCCTAAGGAACCAGATTCCCTGGGAATACTGTGTGGGGAGAGTGGGCAGTATGAATCCAAACTGAGTTCTGAAAGGGAGCCCCAGAGTTAGAATGGGTTGGGTAATCAACCAGTTAGTCAAAACTACTATTTATGGAGCACTGAATATGTCCTAAATACATACTTCACTGAATCTTCACAATAACCCTAGAGATAGAGAGTATCATCCCCATTTTTAGTACAAAGAAACTGAGGCTCGGTAATTTAAGGGACATTTCTAGGAACACACAACTAGTAAGCAAGACAGCCAGAGTTTAAATCCAGATCTGGGCAACTTCAGGTTTCCGGATTCTAAACTCTCTGCCATAGCCCTCTCTAAACCGGAAGTGAAGCCAGGGTTGAGAATTGAGCGGAAATGGATTAAAATATAAGTGTGGGAGTAAGGGAGAAAGGTCTGGATTCCTTCCATGTCAGTGACTTGTTTTTCTGGGCTAGGGGAGCATGAGTGTGGTTTCCTCAGTATATTTGTAATATAAGACTTGGCCACTTTTTCCAAATAGGTAACTCGTGGCCTGACTTCTGTGGGTCTGGGCGGGGAAGGAGCTGCAGCCATTACTAGAAGCAAATGCAAAAGAAGAAAGCGGGGACATAGGAAAGAGGGCATGTTGGAGGGGAACAGACGTCCTGTAACACTGATGAGATTTGCCTTTGGTACTTTTATCATTTATCTACTGCCATTTATCACTTATCTACTGCCTAACAAACCACCCCAACAATGAGTGGTTTAAAAATCACAACCACTTATTGTTTCTCATGCATTTTAGGGGCTGGCTGAACATCTATGCTTATCTAAAATGGGCTCACATGATGTCAGCTGGGCTTGCTTCCGTGTCTGCCACCAGCTAGTAATTTTGCTAGAAGTGGCTGATCTAGGACAACCTCAGCTGGGAGGATGACTCAGCTCTGCTCCACATAGTGTCCCATCTCCCAGCAGGCGAGCTCAGTATTGTTCTCATACTGAAGGCAGAAGAGCAAGAGAGGAGCAGAAGTGGGCCGGACTTTGGGTTTGGAACTGACATCCATCTCTTCTGCCCCATTCTACCAGCCAATCCAATTCAGAAGACAACCCAGATTCAACAGGTATGGTAAAAGATGCCATCTCTTAATGCTGACAAAGTCCTATGACAAAGTACTTGGAGAACGGCAGGCTTTTTATTTTTTTCTTTTTAGTCAGTCTACCACAGGATTCAATCTCAATCCCAAAAGTAGATGAAAAGCAGTGTCATTTTCCAATATCCTGGGCCACACCCACTTCCCTGCCAAAAACCTTTTGTCCACTAAATGCCATATCTTTGTCCAATCTTTGTGTGTCTTATTGGCACCAGATCAGGAAGGGAGTGATATAATGACTCTATAGTTGGGCAAATAAAAGAATGCCTTGTTTTTAGGGGTACTAAAATTCAGATTGCTTACCCACTGATTCCATCTCTATAATTTCTATAACTGAGAAAGTTGCATTATGAAATATACTTACACTTTCTCCATGAAGCATCCCAGCCTGTCTGTATGTATATGGGAATGCCATCAAATTCCAGTAAAAAGAAGTTCTATTATTTAATAAGATGAATACTACTAATATTTCCACCCCACTGCTAATACTGTGCTTGTGATCTGAACTGAAGACTCTAAACTCCAGCAATTTCCTACAATACAGCTGAAGTGAGCTTCC